AGAAAATAGCACAAGTCTAAGGAACCAGGGTTTGGGTGAGACTAAAAGAATATGTAATGCCTGTATTTAAAGTTTTTAAAGCCTTGCCCCTGTAGTTACTTCTCTCCTTGTCAACTTTTAAGGGGACGTTCCACCTTGAAATTGTTCTTGAAAGATGGGCATGGTTTAAAAGTCCTTTTAATTTTACAGCTTTTAGCACAATTTAAAATGTGCTAATGAACTACCTTTAAATAGTCAAGTCAGGGGATACTGAAGGAAGAGGGGGCCTAAGGGATGGGTAGTAGCTCATGGAAAATATCATAAAGAAACAGACACAGCCCAGGCTCAGGCCGCAGCATGGCCATCTGCCACATCTTTTCAGAAGCAGAATGAGGAATCTTATGAGGTTTCTCCAAGGTTTGTTTTTTGGGGGGGGAATTTGGTCACTGGACCAGATTCATTGGATTCTGATGAACTGGATTGAAGGGCTTTGTCTAAGCACTAGGGAGCTGGTTTTCCAATTCCGGGAGAACTTGGGGTTGCAAGGAAGAGAAGCTCACTCAGGCTACCAGAGATAGCAAAAAGAAGGTATATAACTATTGGAAGGACACGGGGGCCTTTCACGGAACCCAAGGACAGCAAAGGTGGCCAGACTTCATAAGTAGCCAGCATCATGGAAATGTAAAGTTACTGGAAACTAAGGAACTAAGTAAATGGATATAATTTGGAATTTAATCAACATTTTTTTTTTTTTTTTACAAACTCCTGAAAGGCTTGCATGCCTTGAGAATCCAGAAAACTGTAAATGGGGAAATTAATGTTCAATTATAAATATCTACAGAACACAGATTTATGGCCTTACATATTTACACACATTTCATTTCATTTGAAAACAACTATAAGTTAGATCTTTCTTTTCATCTCACAATAATTCTTGAGAATGCTTGATAATTATGGACAAAGTCACAAGTGTATAAAATGAATTAGTCAAATAATTTTAAAAGCAAAGTTAAAGAAAACTTTAAAAATTTTCTATAGGGAAAAGGATATATATATTTTAACGGTGTTGGGTTTTGATATGCTTGTATGATGCTTAGGGCTACAAAACTCTTAAAACATTTTTGGCAGAGAGAACTGACTTAGACTGGCTTAGCTGAGCCAATAGATGGGCTTCCTAAGGGTCAGGTGATTATTTCTGATCCAATCAGTTATAGTAATAGAGATGCTAGTTGATCAGTTAAGTGGGCCTTTTTCCTTTTGTGGCACTCCAGTGATATTTCTCTTGAACTAAAATCTATCTTGTAAAGAGATATGTACACATTACCTCATGCCTAAGAAAGACAGATAATTGTGAGTTGTTTAGGCATTTTGTTTCTCAGTTAACTAGATTCTTCCCATGGTGAATGAGTGTTCTGGGTTACTTATAAGCAGTTTCCCTTTTGCTTCAGGCTCTGATATGGCCCTGGGTAGAGCTAACAGAACTGGCTGGTGGGGTGGCTATGAAATCAGCAAAAGGAGAAATCAGAGCTGCTCCTCAGTTTGGTCCTGAGCAACTAGTTAAATAGTGGTGTGGTTAATCTAATGGGCAACTCTGAAACAGAAGAGGCTTGGTATGTAGTAATAAAAATGCAGAGTCCTGGTTAGGACAAATCAAGTTTGGGATGCTAGTTAGATACCTATACTGGGGATATCAAGTAAACACTAGCAATCTAAGTCTTTCAGGCTCTTTTAGGCATCTTGGTTTCTGTCTATATGGCTCTCTATTCTCCTTTCCACAGACCAGCTTTCCTTGGCATCATGGTTTTAGGTACCATGGTTCTGACACCACCATGGTCTGCCAGCTCACCATTCAGTACCAACTGGCTGACTTATTCTCATGGCACAGTTTCAAACACTGTGGAGACAGTCTGTGACAACTCACCCAGAGGCCAATGTCCACCAGATTTGATCTCCTCTGGTTGGGTTCACAGAGCATGCAGACTGCTGCTCCAGACTGAGCACAGGCTAGGGCAGGAAAGTTGGATATGGAAAGCAAATTTGATGACATTTCCTTGGGAAGTCTTTTCTGAACCTCAAGGCAAAAAGTTGATCATCTTTCCTTTGTTGTTCAGTTGCTAAGTCGTGTCCAACTCTTTGCGATTCCATGGACTGCAGCACGCCAGGCTTCCCTGTCCTCTACTATCTCCCAGAGTTTGCTCAAGTTCATGTCCGTTGAGTCGGTGATGCCATTGAACCATCTTATCGTCTGCTTCCCTCTTCTCCTTTTACCTTCAATCTTTCCCAGCATCAGGGTCTTTCCAATGAGTCAGCTCTTTGCATCAGGTGGCCAAAGCCCTAGAGCTTCAGCTTTAGTATCAGTCCTTCCAATGAATGTTCAGCCTCAATTTACTTTAGGATTGGCTAATTTGATCTCCATGCAATCCAAGGGACTCTCAGAAGTCTTTTTCAGCAGCACAGTTTGAAAGCATCAATTCTTTAGCACTCAGCCTTTTTTATGGTCCAACTCTCACTTCCATACATGACTACTGGAAAAACCATAGCTTTGACTATGCAGACCTTTGTTGGCAAAGTGATGTCTCTGCTTTTTAATATGCTATCTCGGTTTGCTATAGCTTTTCTTCCAAGAAGGAAGTATCTTCTAATTTCATGACTGCAGTTACCCTCTGCAGTGATTTTGGAGCCCATGGAAAGAAAATCTGTCACTGCTTCTACTTTTCCCCTTTCTATTTGCCATGAAGTGATGTGACCGGATGTCACGATCTTAGTTTTCTGAATGTTGAGTTTTAAGCCAGTCTTTTCACTCTTCCTTCCTTTCTGCTCCTACAGTTCTCGGAGCTTTGCCCCTTCTAAGGGATACTGTAATGGCTGTTTTCTTGTCTGTCTCCTTAACTACACTGTACAGTCCTTGAAGGCAGGGGCTCTGAACCTGCGGGAACTAGTACAGACTAGATACTTAGTAACTATTTGTGGAGGGAATGAATGAATGAATATGTGAGAAAAAGTACCTGCACAAAGTGTGCTTCCTCTGACTTGCTGGAAGGGTTCACCATGATGGAGAAAAATGTAAAGAAACAACAAAGCAAAGCAAAACAGAAAAAAACCAACAAAGAACTTGGAGCCTATGGCACCTCAAACCTGTTATGTACAGGTTTTATAAAATATAACACCTTTTACACTTTTCTGTCCTTAAGAACACTGGGTGTGTTTATATACATATTTAAACATCAAGTTAGAGAATGTTGGTTCTAGAAGGGATCTTAAGATCCTTCGGTTCAGCTTTCTAAAATTTTTCAGGTAAGAAAGCTAAGTCTCAAAAGGATAAAGGTGACTTTAAAGATCCATAAAGCTCCCAGTCCTTGTTCTATATAAAGTTGCCTTCTCCTTAGAGCAATTATTCATTACTTTTTCAAGGACCCAATGTGAAAGAAATGTGCTGAGAACCATAGATCTCTCTGGGAAACCAACTGTCCTCATGAAGTCCAAGGATTCCTGTTTAGAATCCAAGGATCGAAGTAAAAGAGATAGGGTGCCGAAGAGTAGTGAACCTTAGGCAAAAATTTAAATACACTCTTAGCTGGACATGTTCTCCAACTTTTCTAAAAGATAGCAACATTTTACGGAGTTTTTGTGAGAGTAGTTAAGAAGACATAAGTGCTGCACATAAAAGGTACTCTATAAAATGTTGGTCACATTTTGAAAGACATGGGATTATAGGACTACTCAAAGGACTCCTGAAAAGGCTTTATATATTCATCTATACAGCAAACCTTTTCACTTGAGGGTATCATGAATGTACATAGGAAACTAAACACAACAGGTGTAGCTTGCTTTTGTTCACAGAGCATGCAGGTCAATAGAATGAGTGCTGATTTTTTTGGTGATCGACAGAAGAGAATGTGGGCAAAGAGACCTCAGGGGCCATGAGTCAGTGAAAAATCTTAAATACCAGTTGTAAAAGGAAAGTTTGGGCTTTTCAGATGGCACAGTGATAAAAAAAAAATCTACCTGTTAATGCAGGAGACGAGATGTGGGTTTGATTCCGGGGTCAGGAAGATCCCCTGCAGAAGGAAATGGCAACCTACTCCAGTATGCTTGCCTGGGAAATCCCAAGGAGGGAGGAGCCTTGAGGTCTACAGTCCCTGGGGTCACAAAGAGTTGAGTAAGACTGGAGCTCATGCACTCACACACACAAAGAAAGGCTTAAGGACTAGGGCACTTGGGCTGAGACAGGAAGGCATGCTCCTCTTTCACAGGCAAAGTCCTTCTTTTAATATTTGAATTCTGAGAGGAAGAGAAAAGAAGTCATCCCTGGTCTTGGATGATTCCATACCTCTGCTCACCCAGACATCCCATGTCTGGATTTGCTTCATTTGTCTGAGCATCCTGAAGACTCACTGCAATAGGAAGGAAATCACTGCTTTAGTGCTGCAAATTGACTGCTCAGTGAAACAGCCCAAATCTGGAGATTTCCCTGACCTTTGGACTCCCTGAATAGACAATGGTAGCAGTGGAGGCTCCAGACTTGTTGGGTGGGAGCTTTTTCCAATGCAAACCCTGTCCAACTCCTCATGCACATTATATTGAGGTGTATTTACCGTGTGTATATGAATGTGAAGGAACTGACACCATCGTCCTACCTTAAATAGGATAATGTACACACTTTGCTGGGTGCAGACGAGGCACTCAGTGAATGATGACAGCTCTGAGGATGATGATGATGGTATTTTTTCCTCGCTCTATTCGTCTTCCATTCTCTTCTTCCCTTGAAGGAACAAGTAAATGCCTTGTGAAATCCCTTCAGCCTCCCAGAGAAAATTAAGCTAATGGGAGGGCGCCAGGGTAAGGAAACCTCGACTCCCACTCTAAAGCTTAACTTGAAAGATAGTTGATAGTTGCATCCCCTGCACCAAGTGTCATCCCTGTCGCTGGAGCCACTTAACTATTTCCCCGGAGTGCCCGGCAGCTTTCGGAGGGGGGTACCCGGCAAGGGGCATCGGGGACATGGTATGCAGACGAGAAGCTCAGAGACGGTGGCCTCCGGGGCAGAGGCGCTCGAAAACCCCCAGCGCCCGCACCTTGCCCGGGCCGGGCGCTCTCTGCTGCCCCCCGCGGAGGTGCCCGCGTCCCAGCCCCGGCCCCCCTAGCGGCTCCTCGGGAATGCTGGGAATGTGAGTCAGGGCCGCGGAGAGCGAGCGAGCGAGCGCGCGGAGCGGCGGGGCTGGGGGCGCGGCGGAGCGCAGGTCTGGCTGCGCCCGCGCGAGCGCGCGTCTCGGGACTGCGGCGGGTGCCGCCCCCTCGGCCGTCGGCCCCGCCCGGCCCGGCGCCCGGCCTCGGCCCTGCGAGCGGCGCCCTTCCTCCTTCGCTCGCTCCCTCCCTCCCCGCCCCGCTCCTCCTTCTCCTCCTCCCGCTCCTGCACGCTCGGGCTCCGGCTCTGGCGCCGGCTCCGGCTCCTCCCGGCCGCCCGGGGCCAAGGAGACGTGAGGTTGTAAAAATCCATGTGGGACGGCCCCGGGGCGAGCATCAGAAAGGTGAGACGTCGGGGCCGCGGCCGCTGGGCGCCCGGCTCCCTCGGGGCAGCCGTTCCGGGGCATCCCTCGTGCCGGGTCCCCCTCACTCGTGGGGAGCTGCAATGCGTTATCGGGGGTAGCCGAGGGGTGAACCACCCGCCTCTACTTGGGCTTGCTGGGGCGGGGGAAAGGATGGGGCGGCCTAAGGGCGGATTTGTCTTGATGTAAAAACCCCCGGATTGGAACAAGTGCACGGCTTCCTCCGGCGCGCGGGCGCTGCTCGCTCGACCCGGCGGCCCGGGCCACCTCCCGCAGTCCCTCCCCGGCAGCCACCCTGACTGCTCTCGCCTTTCTTCTTTTCTGCTCCCCCTCTTTCGCCAGGCTTTCCCCGCTTTTGCCTTGAAGGGTGGGGGTGTTCGCAGGGGCAAGGGTCTGGAAATCCCCAGGCAGAACAAAGTAGAGGAACGTGGAGCCCCGGCCCCGGGGGTGGGGTACCTGGTTGCTTCGGTGGGCTCCGAGGGGAACGTGTTTAAAAAAAGAAAAATTCGTGTCAGGGAAAATGAAGCCGGATTTACTGGCGAGGAGTAGGGGGTGGTGGTCCAGGAAAACGAATACGCTGTGAAATTAAACTGAACGACCTGCTTTCTCTCCCCCTTCCCATCTCCGAATTACACAAGAAAAGGGATACTTATAGGGTTGTACCTATTCATTTTATTTTTAAATTATTGTCCGAGCCTTTGAAAGATCATCTTAGGACCGTGAAGATTAAGGACTGCTTTGGTGCGGGATAATAAAACAGCTCTCGTAAACTCGGATCGGCCCTGCCTTTAAAATTTTGTACTTAAGGGTCTCTTTTCTCCTTGCCTCGGAGGGAGGGTCCCCTCTGTTACGAGCAGATCGATTTTAGGCGGCTACCTGCCTTTGCTGGATGAAAGGCAATTTACTCCCGGAGCGGTGAATTGTCAGCTCCCTCCGTGATTGACAGCCACACCTGCCACTTATGTGGGCAAAACGGGGACCGCTGGAACCTGAAGAGCCAATCAATGCTTGAGAGAGGAGGGCAGTTCCCACTTGTCATGGTTAGTTTCCTGGTTGGCTTTTTAAATCAGTGGTTTTACTTAACCATTGGTTTACACCAGGTATGAGGTTCCAGCTGTGAGAGGCAGACAAGTGGGAAGAAAACTCTTCAAAAATGGGCTCAGAAGCAAGAATGCTTCACTTGTATTTGTCACCCCCGTTTTAGTTGTAGTAGTTGGGGATGCTCAGGCCATTGGCTTAGAAATGAAAATGAAATGAATCTGTATAAAGGGTGAAATGGAAGAGTGTTGGGGATTAGAAGTGTCAACCGATTTCTCTAGAATTGCAGGCTGCTTTATAAGAGATACCCTTTGCTCTTGAGCTATCTGGAAAAGGGTGTGGCACTCTGTCTCCTGTGGCCAGTCTTGTCCTTGTAAAGTCACATTGTTTCTCAATATACAGTACTTAGCTCTTTGCTCTATTGGGGGGATTTATAAAGATACTTTTGAAGCAGGCAAACATGCTTTATTTGAATTACCATGAATAGAAGGGATTCTTTTAGTTTTGATGCTGTAACTCAACTTCTGGAAGTGAAACCTGCCTTCTTCACTTCCAGTTTGGATGTCAGTTTGGAGGTGGCAGTGGGGTCAAGCCAGATGCTTTCTGGAGGGTAGACGAGTTTGCCTTTAAGGTGAATTTGCTTCTAAGATGAGCCATCTTGTTGGTTTGCATCTCTGCTTTAATTAAAGCCTTCACAGTTTGGAAGGGTGGTGTGTGGATCGTGATGGAAGCATGGCTTTCACCAGCAAGATTTTCGAGGGTGGATGGATTGTGGGTAGAAGACCAGATCCTTCTCAACTCTGTATTAGTGAATGGCTAATTTTTCAATACTCTTCTCCCTTAATTCAGTGGAAAAATTACCGATTGATCCGGAGAGCTGTCGCCTTACAGAAGACGTACCTGAATGTGAACATAAAGCTCTGCATTGAGCATATCATGAACAGATTGTGGACTAGAGTATACTGATTAGAATAGTCCTCATGTAGGAGCCAGGTTTGTCAATTATCATCATCATTGTTATTGCACATGCAAGGACTTTAGGGGTACTTTACATGTATTTTCTTTATTAAATCCTGCAGAGCTCCTATGAGGTGTGTGTGCATGTGTGTGTGTGTCTGTGTGTGTGTATTAGTCACTCAATTGTGTCCGATTCTTTGTGACCCCACGTACTGTAGTCTGCCAGGCTTCTCTGTCCATGGGATTCTCCAGGTGAGAATACTGGAGTGGGTGGCCATTTCTTCCTGCAGGGGATCTTCCTGTTTTGTGGGCAGATTCTTTACCATCTGAGCCACCAGGGAAGCCCTTATGAGGTAGGTAGGACTATTATTATCCCCAAATTATAGATGAGGAAACAAAAATAAATTAAGTATATCGCTACAGTTTAGTGGGAGAGTGAGAACTTGAGCCCATGTTTCTCTGATCCAGACCCCATGACCTTGGGCATGGCTTTGAATTCAAATTCTGGCTGTGCAGTGTGCATGGGTTCAGTATGCGGCATGTACTCTTCCAGTTTACATAGGGCTTATTCTGTTAAGTCCACTGTGATATTAATGGTCTTTGCACTGTGCTGTTTGCCTTGCCACTTTGAAGGCTCTTTCCTCTACCGTCAAGCAAATTAGGTAACTTTGTGTGTTATATATTTCCAGTATGTCAACTCTGGCCCAAGGGAAATTTGGTTCCAAACTTAATGATGACTTCAAAGAAAGTAAAACAAAATAACATGCACGCTCTTCCATCTTCCTTGATACCTTAAGGTTCCAGCTGGAGTTGTGAATAAGTCTTAGTTGAATACATACTCTTGCTATTCAACTGGCTTTATTTTTTCTTCTCTAAAGGATAGGAATTTTATTTTCTTTTCCACTTACAAAGGGATTCTTTTTCATTAGTGATTAAATATAGTTATATTTAAAATTATCCTATTACAACAATATGGCTCTCTTGCTTTTTTAGGTAACAAAAGCCACAGACTTTAGCCTTTCAGTGTCTTCTTTCCATTGACGAAACTCAATGGTCATGGTTTGCCAAAACAGGTATCCTGAAAAGTGAGTTTAGATGAATGGTATTGGAGTCCACAAATTTACCTCAACAGATAGTCTTTGATTTTGGTAGCATTGACTTTGTACAATTACCATTTTAATTTGTTTTACTAGGACTTCCTTTAATAACCCCTTTTTATCAGCTAATAGCTTAACATGTTGGCTGTCATATGGGAGATCTACCTGCCAGCCAACAGTTGAGTTTTAGCAATGTTTATATTATTCCTTGATACTTTAGTGTGATTTTCCTTGTTTTAGAAAGATAGTAGAACAAAAGGAAAACAGAAGCATTAATATTAACTATAATGTAGGTCTCATAAATTTAAAATAGTTGATCCAAAGAGAGAAATCATTAGGTGTACCAAAGACAGAGGTGCTTCCATCACTTCTTTTTTATGAGAAGAAAAGGAGCAAAATGAATGATTATGTAAGAAAGTGAAATTATATCAAATGGTAAAAGAAAAATTAGTCACCTTTTGCTGTGTAACAAAACTCCTGGACTTACAGCAACAGGTATTTATTGTCACCCTCACGAGTCTGTTGGCTGACGGTTATTTTTGGCTGATCCAGGTTGGGTTCCTGTGATGGCTCTGCTATAGGTTGTAGCTTGGACCCTGGGCTGTTCCACCTGTGTTCTGGGGCCCAGGCTGAAGGGATAGCAGCTATGTGGGGCATGCTCTTCTCATAGCAGATCAGTGTATTCCAGAGCCAAGTCAAACTGTACAAGCTGATGTCATTTCCATTAACGGTATTTTTGGATATACCAAGTTGGATGGTGAAGCCCAACATCCATGGATAAAAGTAGACTCTGCCCCTAGTTGAGGAGAGAATATTTAATGAACTATAATCTGAACTCCTACAATGTGTAAAAAGAATAATTTTTTTTTTTTTAGAATTTTGTAATTTTTTTCTTCTCATTCTTGGAGAATGCAGTCTTCATCCCCTCACTCCTACCCCTATTTTTATGACATATAAACATAATATTTTGCATTTCAGGAATATACCATGTTTGATTCTAGAGGATTGACTGTAAAAGCAGGTATGAGTATATGCATGAACTACTTAAATGATCCAGGCACCTACTGTGTTTGAGGGACTGTGCTCAATGGAGTGAGGAGCTCAGGAGTTTTTGTCTGATATGAGTCCTGTTACCATAGAACTTATTAGGAGTAGATGTCAGGAAACACTTTGTAGATGAAATGGCATTTTCCTGCTTCCTTGAAGCAGTGATAGTGTTAGAGATAGAACAGGGGATATAGTGGAAGTGTAAGGTGCACATCTGGATATAATGAGTTATTCCATTTGGCTAGAGGGGTGAATAATAAGGGGATGATAATAATAATAATTATAATAATAGTAATTGTAACCTAGCTTTTATTGACCTGTTAACTATGTGCTAGGTGCTCTGCACTCTGCTCAGTACTTTATGTGAAATATATCATTTAATATTGGGATATATTGGTAAACACATCATTTAATATTGGGGTAGACCTACTTTCTGATTGCCTATCTAGTATTTATTCTCTCCTTTCTCACTAAAGGAACTCATTTCGTTTGAGATGAGAATATGCCTGTCTCACACTCCCAAACTCTCTTATGTGAATGGCCACAAAACTCAGGTCTTAATAATGATGCTTTGACCCCTTTTTGCTTCTTGCTGCGGGGAAAATGCCTTGAGGAGCAGCAGCCAACTTCATTAACAAAGATAAGTTGTTGTTGTTCACTTGCTAAGTCACTTCTGACTGTTTGCAATTCCATGGACTACAGTACACCTGGCTTCTCTTTCCTCCGTTATCTCCTGCACTTTGCTCAAATTCATATCTGTTGAGTCAGTGATGCTGTCTAATCATCTCATCCTCTGCCACCCCCTTCTCCTTTTACTTTCAGCCTTTCCCAGCATCAGGCTGTTTTCCACTGAGTCGTCTCTTCACATCAAGTGACCAAAGTGTTGCAGCTTCAGCTTTAGCATCA